AATATGTATCAGGATTTGAAGAAAATCTTTTGGTGGTCCGGATTGAAGAGGGATGTAGCTCAATTTGTGTATGCATGTTTGACTTGTCAGAAGTCTAAGGTGGAACATCAAAAGCCTAATAGATTGATGCAACCGTTGGATATTCCATAGTGGAAATGAGATAGTATATCGATGGATTTTGTTACAGGGTTGCCGAATACGCAAAGAGGTCATAATGCTATTTGGGTGATTGTTGATAGACTTACTAAATCTACTCACTTCATTCCGATTGATATTAGCTATCCTTTGGAGAAGTTAGCCGAGATTTATGTTCGTGTGGTTGTGAAGTTATATGGAGTTCCTAAGAGTATTGTATCGGATAGAGATCCTAGATTTACATCGAGGTTTTGGGAGAGTTTGCAAAAGACTTTGGGTTCTAAGTTAAAATTGAGTTTGACTTATCACCCGCAGATGGATGGTCAAACCGGGAGGACAATTCAATTGGTGGAGGATTTATTGCATGCTTGTGTACTAGAGCAAGGTGGTGCTTGGGATAGTTATTTGGCGTTGATTGAGTTCACCTATAATAACAGTTTTCATTCAAGTATTGGTATGGCACCATTTGAGGCTTTGTATGGTCAGAGATGTCGAACACCTTTATGTTGGCATGAAATTGGTGAGAAGTCGGTAGTTATCACGACAAGAGAAGGAAAGATCTTCAATGTAGGCAGAAGAGTTATCACGACAAGAGATGGAAAGATCTTGAGTTTCAAGAAGGCGACCATGTGTTTTCGAGAGTTACACCGGTTACGGGTGTGGGTCGTGCTTTGAAGTCGAAGAAGTTGACTTCTCGTTTTATTGGTCCGTATCAGATTACTGCACGAGTTGGTGTTGTGGCTTACCGTGTGGCGTTGCCTCCGAATCTTTCGAACTTGCATGATGTGTTCCATATTTCACAACTTCGAAAGTATGTTACGGATCCGTCACATGTCATTCCTATGGACGAGGTTGAGGTGAGAGATAACCTTACGGTTGAAGTTTTACCGATTGGGATTTTGGATCGTGAAGTTAAGATACTAAGAGGCAAGGATATTGCGCTTGTGAAGGTAGCGTGGGGAGGCGCTTCAGAAGGCAATATGACTTGGGAATTAGAGAGTGGGATGCGAGAGTCGTATCCGGAGTTGTTTGGATCAGGTAATATTTTCGAGGACGAAAATTTCTAAAGTGGGGGAGAGTTGTAACTCCCCGATTCTGATTTCCCATTTTTGTTGAGTCTTTTTGATTTAATTGGGTGATTATTATTTTAATTATGAAATTTATGTGTTAATATGTTATGTTTGCATATTATGCTATTTTACCGATTTTGACAGTTATCGGGGAAAATAGATTGGAGGGTATTTTAGACATTTAGTAATTAATGTTAAGTTGGATATTTTGTGAGAAAATGGGTTTAATAGATATTTTGAGAAAATAGAATAGAAAGAAATATAAGTGGAAAGAGGAGAGAAAAGAGATAGAAATAGAAAGAAGAGAGAAGAGGAGAAGAGAGGAAAAGCTTGGATTCTTCAAGAACAACATCTAGGCTTCGATTTAATCGGGTAAGGGTGTGAAATGTTATTATCTTATCAATGTTTATGATTATGTATGTGTTTGTTGAATTGGTTTGGATTGTTGGAGAGTTTTTGCTCATTTTCCATTTTAGGGCAAAAACGAGTTTAATCGGTAGAATCGATGTTTTAACGGTTAAGATTGAGAATAAATGGCGTAGTTTAGTCGAGGAATGTTAGACTAAGACTACTAGAACTTGTTAGAATAGAATCGGTTGATTTGGTGATGATTTGATGATTTTGGATAGTTGGGGTTTTGAACATCGCAGACGTTCGCTAGGCGAGCAGGTCGCGAGTGTTCGCTGTGGCGAGCTAGTGGCGAATGATCCCACTTGAACATAATATAATTGACCCTCTTCGCTGGTAGCGAGCGAGGTAGCGAGGGGTTCGCTAGGCGAAGTCCCAGCGAGTAGGCAGCGAAGCCTTACAGTAGCTTCTGTTTGCCTTCGCGAGCTTGTTCACTAGGCGAACAGGTAGAGATTGTTTGCTAGGAACTCGCTAGGCGAGCGAGCTAGCGAGTGTGACAGCATTTTCATTTCCTTGTGTTTCCATCCAATGTCGATTGTTTGGTTCGATTGTGTTCAATCCTTATCGAAAATGAATAGTTTGTATGCTGCTGTGTGATATGTTGTGGGTAGCCCGTATGGCGTGAATCCTAGATTATGGAATCGATTGCGAAATGTGGCCTTTTGGCAAATATATGTGCATTGTTTAAATTGATTAAAAATGCATGGTGATTGTGGTGGAGTTTGTTGCCGTTTGGCATGATATTGTGAATGCACATTGAATGTATGCGATTGTATGTGAAGAATGCATGAATATATTTGTGAATATGTATGCATTTCAAGAATGTCATGAGTCATTTTGCATGTGAAGCATTATGATGTGCATTCTTGTGTTGTTTGATTCCTCGGAGAATCTGCTGAACAATATTTGATTCCTCGGAGAATCTGCTGAACAATATTTGATTCCTCGGAGAATCTGCTGAACAATATTTAATTCCTCGGAGAATCTGCTGAATTGATTCTTAGGAGAATCTGCTGAACGATTGTGTGCCCATGTGGGGTGTGAGCAATCCATAAACATTGTGTTCCCATGTGGGGTCTGAGCAATGAGTGAACATCGTATGCCCGACGGGGAGTTACATTGGTAACAAGCGATGGTTCCAATAAGTTCCTGAGTGAACTTGAGATGATTGAGTCGGTACCGCATTTGCATCTACATAGAGTCGTGAGTCGGTCTCTATGAGTTGCATTTATCATCTTTATATGATGCATTGGTGAATAAATATAATATGTGTATGTTTATGTGGAACGATAAGAATTATGGATGTGTGCATGATGAATATGCTTGATGTTTATCCATATTTGTTTATATATACATTGTGGTGTATATGATGAGTTATGATGAATTGTGGTGAGAAATGTAGAATATGTGTATTCTATGCTTGTGTGTGTGTGTGTGTATGTATATATATATATATATATATATATATATATATATATATATATATATATATATATATATATATATATATATATATATATATATATATATATATATATATATATATATATATATATATATATATATATATATATATATATATATATATATATATATATATATATATATATATATATATATATATATATATTGATTATTATGATAATATTTCTCACCCGTCTGTTGTTTTATGATGCTCTATGAGGCATTGCAGAGTAGGTTTGCTGGAGATCTTTTGTGAAGCGTGGTTTCATTCTTTTTGGTCGGTTGGCTCTGATATGTAGCACCGGGTAGCTAGGATTGTATAGAATTCTTTTGTGATACGTTGTATATGTATCTTGATAATGGAATGTTTATGAAAACATGTTTAATATGGTTGAATCAAACTGGTTGACATATATATGATCATATGTTTTGATGTTATTCAATGTTTAGATTTTCCGCTTTTATTCTAAATATTGAGATGTGGGTGTAAGGACTAAGTTCCTATGTTGCGAGTTACCTCATTGTTGCATATCAATTGTTGAGCAGGTGTTGGATGTTTTAATTTCATGTATAATGTGACATGCCTCTTTTATACCATGTTTTAATTATACTCTGATGGAAATTATATATATGTGCCTAAATGATTTAATTGATTAATTGGGGGTATAGAAAGGGGGTGTTACACCAAACCCCCATGCACGCCCTCAAAACCTCTTGTTACAGTCCCTACATGTTCATTTAAATCCCCTCCTAGAAAAAACTTCTCTCATTGGGGTACTTTAAAAAATAAGCCTTTTAAATTCTCCAATTTTTTTTTGCCTTAAGGTGTTCTTCTAACCCAACATGAGACGCGTAAACACTAATAACATTCAAGGTGTCTTGATCCACTACGAATTTTAAGGTTATGATTCTATCTCCTATTGTTTTCACATCCACCCCTTCTTCCACTCCATGTCCACCATATCCCCATCTCATTTCTTGATCTAACTTGTCTGGTGTACCAAAGCTTAAATCCCGAGTTGTCTAATTTTTACACCTTTTCACCTGGCCACTTATTTTCTTAAAGGTGCACTTAGTTTCTTAAAGACACATGAAATTAATCTTCCTCCTAACCAAATTGTCCACTATTTTTATAGATTTTTTGATGAGCATTGTCAATATTTCATAACCTAAAACGAATCCTACTCTCGTGAACTAACTTCATTACACACACTTGTTCATGAAAATACGGTAACATTCTTATTTTTCACTACATTTAGACGGCGGTGCAACGACCTTTACTCTTTTGACAATGTATTCGAGCCATACAACACGTTGCTTATGAAAAACGCCCTAGCATTCACATTATTTCGTAAAAGATTCGATAAAGTTTTACGTCAAATCTCAGCTGCATAACAAAACCCTCTCCTTTAATCCGATTTAAGACCGACTACGCATAACAAAACTAGACATGATATAAAGCTGCAACATAGTTTTGATGTAGCCTATTTTTATTTCAATTATACCATTTTTTTATTTTTGTTTTAAATTCTACCCTATTAACTATTATGACGGTTTACATATATCTCTTTTGTTCTATTTTTTATTTATTAATTTATAAATAATTAAAATTAAGGATACCAAAAATACCATTAATATTTTTATCCGTTTGTGCATTTAAAAAAGCGGTCACATCGGTCTGAGACCGTAGTATATATGAAATGAAAAAATAAAATAAACTTTAACATTAAGGATTATGCGGTGAGTGAGAAATAGAATGTTTTCTCTTCCTATACTTATACATTGAGATTTTGTTCTAATACCCACATAACTATTGACCATTCTATTTTCATTCCAAAATTTGAAACACCATTTCTTCTTAAACATCGTTGGTTGAAATCAACCACCACTCACTCACATTCTTTCTTGGATAATAATATTGTGATGACCGCTATCAACCTAATTAGTAATTGTACCATGAAACCTTCCTCAAGATTTCTCCTAATTGGTAGAAAGAAATCATCTTTTCTCTCAACATGTCACCACCATTCTCTTACAATGTCTAATAAACCTCTTGTTCTCAATCTTAACAACAAAACCACGCACTACCCTTGTATCTTTGAATTCGGACGCCTAATGAACGGTTTTCAACAAGTTTTACGGTTACCCTCTTGGAATTTATGCCATTCAAGAACATGTATCAGGATAAGAGCAACCAAAACAGAAAGAGTTTCTTGTATCGATGGAGTGTCCTTCAAGGCACGTGAATTCTCGAACTCGGTTGAGACCAAGGCTAGAGGAGATGAAGATGATTTGAAGGAGAAGAATTGTGATGGTTTGAAGAATTTTGATGAGGAAGAAACTGATGTGGAGAAAGAGGCATGGAAATTGTTGCAAAAAGCACTTGTTACATATTGTGATGCACCTGTTGGAACCGTTGCGGCAAATGATGAAGCGGATAAAGACTCGCCTTTGAATTATGATCAAGTTTTTATCAGAGACTTTGTTCCTTCTGCTCTTGCTTTCTTGCTCAAAGGAGAAAAAGAGATTGTCAAGAACTTTCTCCTTCATACCTTGCAACTCCAGGTAACAAAAATTCATATCTTTAGAATCTTCTATGGTTATTATAATGTGTAAGGATCGACGTCGGCCTCAAGTCTGCACTACTGCGGTTACGAGATATTTTGTTTGAATTTTCTTCTCTATTCTATTGCAACAGAGTTGGGAGAAAACAGTGGATTGCTATAGCCCGGGACAGGGCTTGATGCCTGCAAGTTTCAAAGTTAAAACTATGGAATTTGATGACAAAAAGACAGGAGAGGTTTTAGATCCTGATTTTGGAGAATCGGCCATTGGTCGCGTTGCTCCAGTCGATTCAGGTCAGTGACCATCTTTTTAGGACAATTTTGTTGTTGTAAGTAAATGTCATCGTTATTATCTCTACAGCACCGACACCTTTGGAAAAAGACATGTCCTTATTCGTATCAGACACTGGCGCAATACCGACACCTGTGATTACGATCAATTTATTCAATTTTTCAAATTATTATCGGTGTCAACGTGTTAGTATCAGTGTCGTGTCTGGTGTTTGTGTTTGCGTCCGTGATAAAAGGGTCATTTCCATAATATGTTGTTTCTATGTTTGATTCCTTGATAGGATTGTGGTGGATCATTCTGCTTAGGGCTTATGGAAAACTCACTGGTGATTACACCTTGCAAGAAAAGTTAGAAGTTCAAACAGGCTTACAAATGATCCTTAACTTGTGTTTATCAGATGGATTTGACATGTTTCCTTCTCTATTAGTAACTGATGGATCTTGCATGATAGATAGAAGGATGGGTATTCATGGCCACCCTCTTGAGATTCAAGCATTATTTTACTCGGCTCTTCGCTCGGCTCGCGAAATGGTTATCGTAAACGATGAACATAGTAATCTGATTGGCGAAATCAACAATAGACTAAGTGCATTGTCTTTTCACATTAGAGAGTATTATTGGTTGGATATGAGAAAGGTGAATGAAATATATAGGTATAAAACAGAAGAGTACTCTTTAGATGCAACTAACAAGTTCAACATTTATCCAGAACAAATTCCAATGTGGTTAATGGATTGGGTTCCAGAAGAAGGTGGTTATTTGATAGGAAATCTACAACCTGCTCACATGGATTTTCGGTTTTTCATGCTTGGAAATCTTTGGGCGATCGTTTCGTCTTTAGGTACACCGAGACAGAACAAATCTATTTTGAATCTTATAGATTCGAAATGGGATGATCTTGTGGGTGAAATGCCGCTTAAGATATGTTATCCTGCCTTGGAACATGAAGAATGGCGCTTAATCACCGGCAGCGACCCTAAGAATACGTACGCATTGATTCTTCATTCTGTTTTGTAACGATAAGTTAGATCAGATATAAAAATTTAACGAATACTTGTTTATAACTTTTGCAGTCCTTGGTCATATCACAATGGCGGATCTTGGCCTACCCTGATGTGGCAGGTAATTGTTAACAAGTTTAATTGATATGTATTGTTAGTATAATCAATACATCATATATTTCTATTTTTAATGATCTGACGATTATGATTGATTCAGTTTACGTTAGCATGCATCAAAATGGGAAAGACTGATTTAGCCGAAAAGGCAGTTGGTTTGGCGGAGAAAAGGCTTCCGTTTGATTCATGGCCGGAATACTATGACACGAAAACAGGAAGATTTGTTGGAAAACAAGCAAGACTTTTTCAAACATGGACATTAGCCGGGTTTCTTGCATCTAAGATGCTTTTGAAGCATCCTGAAATAGCATCATTGTTATGTTGGGATGAAGATCTTGATATTCTTGAAACATGTGTTTGTGTACTCAATAAGAGTGGTAGGACAAAATGCTCTCGTGATGTTGCAAAGTCACACATTTTAGTATGAGACACTCTCTTGTATAGTATATTTAGTTTAGTGTGTTGATATAAATCATTGTATATATTGAGTTTGATAGGATTCATAGTCATTGTATATGTAAACTTACCTATAAATGTGAATACATATTGATTTTTCACATTATACAAATGTTCCTTTGGAGAATTCTTTGGAAGGATGGATTCAATTATAAAGGTTAGAATCCCCCTTCTTCCATTTATGCTTTTGCTTAAACCTTAAGATCTAAAGGTGACAAAACTCAAAACCTTAAAATGCATACTCAAATATCCAATATTTCATTGAAAGAACCTTTAAAAGATTACATTTCATTTGTTTACAAGTACTTATCAAAAGGTAGTTGTTGACTTTTCCTATTTTTGTTGCTTTACATTTTTGGCATTGCAAGCCCTATTGGATGAATCATGCTACAATTGCAAGGTCTAATCTCTGGAAGTGGGAAGGATTGCAATGAGTGGCTAAATTCTCCCTTAAAAAAAATTTATCACTATTTTAATTTAATTTTATTTGTTTTCAATTTTTGTTTTTAATGATTATTAGTGTAAGAGGTTTTTTAAATAATATTTTAAAAATTTATTTTATTAATATTATATGCGCATTTAAGTATAAATTTATCAACTGTAATGCTATTGTCTAGTTGTGAAGTATGGTTGTTTTTAGGATAAATAGATCCTTAGGCACCAAGAGATTAAAGAGGAGAATTAAGGGTGACACTTAAGGGATCTATCATTTGTTATTTTTCTTTTTTATTTGCTTTCATTTTAAACTTTTGTTTTTGTTTTTTTATATTTTTTAAGTTGATTTCCATTTAGTTTTGTTCCATTATCTTATTTTATTTAAAAATGTTTTTTATGTTTTTATTTTGTTTATCTTTTGTCCATCTCACCATGAGTGAGTAGATCTATAGAGACACGTGGTCATAAAAGTCTGTCTCATGACAAATTTCAATTGAATCAACCATTTGTAATTACGAGAATTGAAAGTTTGGTTTATTTTAGAATTTGAACTCTTGACCGTGTCTATGTCGGTTGCGAAAGCAAAGATAATATAGAAGTCAATCATGTACCGAAAGATAATGATTCGACTTTTGAAAGAGGATTACTAAATGATTGAGTTCGAGGCGCCACTGACAAGGTGACTTGATCTCAATTGAGAAACAATCAAGATGTGGTGTTACGTGACAAAGAGTAACGCTCTTGATTGAACCACTTAGTCTTGCCTGAGACACTTTTAGATTTCTCACGCCACGAAAGTGGGTGTCATACACAATTATTTAAATTTCTATAAATATACTTAGATTCTTGTAATTTAAACATGAATCGTTATAAGGTCCTGCTTTTAATTATTTGTTAATTTAGATTTCAACTTGCACCAAACAAACTCTTTTGTGATAGCTATATATAAACATGGGGTAAAACTCGGTAATCATACATCTCTCTATGGGTTCAATCTTTTTATACTTGACACAACCATGCACTTGCGGTTCACACACATAAAACTCGCCAGAATAAAGATTTTAGAGAATAAAATCTCCATACTAGTGAAGTCCTTAGGCATCTAACAATTATGGCTGAGTCTCTCACGACTCAAAGCAAGGCATTGGAGACCCAAATCTCCTAACTTGCACACATCCCTCTGGGATCCTTCCCTGAGGGACATGTGAATGTTATAACAACCAAAAGTGAAAACAAGTTGAAAATGCTAGGGAGAGTGATAAAGAGGCCGAGGAAAGTTCTGGTAAGAAAAAGGTAGAGATTGAGAAAAATTCACTGACACCATCCAAAAAGGAGGTTGTCGAAGAGGTAGAGAAGGAAGCACATTATGTTGCTCCTTCTCCTTACAAACCACCTATTCCTTTCCCGCAAAGATTTGTGGAGAATAAGGTAGGCTTCCAATCCAAAAGGTATGCAAAATTTTTAGAAAAAATTCATATCAATGTACCATTGACTGAGGTCTTGGCTAAAAGGAGAAAGTTAGAGGACCATAAAATTGAGGAAAATTTTAATGTTAAGAAAGGAAGATTAAACCTTGAAGTGGGAGATGAAAATGTTGAATTCATAGACAAATCTCCTAAAACCACCCCACATGTTCATAGGTATGAACCACCACATAGGAAGAAGAAAAAGAGGAGTAATGGATATGAGAAATGGATTGATAAATGACCATAGATTCCTAGAGCCACTACCATCTTTGAAGGAACCACCGTGAGTTCTTGCATTCATGGGCCTTCGAGCAAAAACAGAATTACACAAAGCGTTTCATGGGAGGGAACACACACTTTTAATTGCTTATGCCTTTTATGTTGTTTATTTTTGCATGTTCTTTTTGTTTTGCATTCACCTTCTAGTGCGCTTTCTACCTCCTTAGTGAGGTGTTTGTGAGTTTCTCTTTACCTATCCTTAGAAATTCTCCAAATTTCAAATCAAAAGACACCCCCTATAATTCTAGGAAGACTACCACTAGTAGAAAACAACTAGAAAAGAGTAAAAAAAAAACCTAGGTAAAACCATAATCCAACCCAACCATATAAAAATCCTATATCAAACCGACCTCACGGGTTACAAAGAGGTGGCATGCCGTTTCTATAACAGTCGAGCAGAAAGAACAAAAAACAAAACGACCCTTAAAAGGATACCCCTCTTAAGTAAGTTTACTCTAGTAGGAATCTGATCCTAAATAAGCTTCTAGGGGAAGACTCTTACTTTGGGGGGGGGGGGGAGGGGGGGCGTTCCCAACTACATTGAACGCAAAGGAAAATGCTCGCAACAAATGGTTCATGAGTATCTATATGAATCTCCCGCAAAAGGAGAGAAAAGTAGGAAAAGGAAACAAATAGTCACCATATTTGGAGTGGCGCCACCACCCCTATCTACCTACTCAGAGTGGTTAAAACCATTAATAAATAATAAAAAGTCATCAATCAATACATGCTCATGCTAAAAAAGTATGATTTTTTTCCACTTAAGATCTCAGGCACATGACTCACCATCCCACTTACCAACCTCCCCCACAGAGTCAGCTTGTTGATCAGAAATAAAGTAGAGCTTCAGGAGCCGATTATTAAAAGGAGAGACCTATAACTAAGGGTCATTCCAAAAGGAGGTGCGAATACCTAAACTAACTAGCTTGAGCAAGCCATCACAGAACCAATCAGAAGGGTCTTCAGATTTAGAACCAAGAAGAGAGATCCCTTTTCACCAAGACGACGCTAATAAGAAACTCCCACCTCTACCCCCTGAGGCACACGATATAGACATATAACCATATTTAGAAATTAAAATATCCTACCAAATACCAGATGCCCTGGACAATAACCTTCATATCCATTGACCAAAAAGGACCTGGTTAACTAACCTCAGGTCACGCACACCCAAATCTCCCAACTTCTTAGGTTTACTCACCACCTCCAAATTTACTAGGAAATCTTATAACCCCTCTTAAACCTACCCTAAAGGAACCTCCTTTGAAATTTTACAATCTACTTCCAGAACTTGACGGACATCTTCAACAAAGAGAAAACGAAGATATGAATGGAATTTAGAATTGAATTGAGGAGGATCACTCTCCCCTATAAGGATATATACCTAAACCTTTAAGAGATGAGCTGCCTAGTAATAAGGTTTACCAAGGGTTCCCAAGTAAATGATAAAGAGGATTGTCTTCAACCAGAAGACTAAGTTACTTGAAGGGAATAGACTCTTGCTTACAATGGAGGAAGTCACAAGCAAGATCTAAGAAAGTAGGGTCACAGTCAAAACCTCAGATAATCGCTTTGATGGCCCAAAGGTTAGCAATAACGGCCTCTGCAAGAATGACCATGTCATCTCCATATTGCAAATGGGAGACCACCAAGTCAGTTGCTTCCATTCTAAGTCCATAGAACAATTGCAATTCCACACCTCTAGCAAAAAGACTGCTAAGACATTTAGCCACCAGAAGAAAAAGGAAAGGGGGTATTAGGGGATCACCTTACTTCAGTCCTCTCTGAATACTAATTTTTTAGGTCGGACTATCATTAACCATGACCGCATAATTACCCAGAAAACACAAGCACGGATTCAACTTCTCCATTTGTTATTGAAACAAAACATTTCTAACATATACTTTAGTAAAGACCAACTCATTGAATAAGTCTTTTTCAAAATTTACTTTTAAAGATGAGACAGGGACTACATTGTAGCATTTGATTTATTAATTGGTGGTAAACAAATCAACTTTCTAAACAAAACTTAATTAAAATGTTTAGATCAATCATATAGTTTTGTTTTTAGGAGCTATTTAATATTTTAAAAAAAGGTAATAGGTTTGAATTTGTGCTTTGTTGTGGTAATTCAACTTAGGTATACTAATCTTAACTTGATCGGATTAATTTCCTATTCAAATTGAGATAGCATATCCAACTTGAAAAAGATAATTAATCAACTTTACCTTTTAGGTTTAGTTTAATTAGTCCATGGTTTGCATACCCTCTCTTATGCTTTAGTTAACATATTTGCACTTAACATGCTTTGTTAAGAGTCAATTATAAAAATAGGGATATTTCTAGTCTAAACATATATTTAAAATGAACAAAATAGAAATTTTTTTATTTCATTTCATTTTTTATTGGAAGATAACATTAGTCATTAGAGGATGTTTATTACACAACAATACATGAAACTAAAACTAAACCTCTTTCACATTTCTTCAACTTCAAAAGCAGAAACAGGAAAACTTCTAGAAAGTCCAGAAGGTGTTTTGAAAGTGATTTTCTCAGTTGGTGGATCATCAACATAAATCTCACTCACTGTAACCCAAATGAAAAGCTCTTTAGTTTTCACACCACTCAATTTCTTAATCTTACCTTTCTCAACATAAGCAGTAACTTCAGTAGAATAAATAACAGGTTTTCCAATTTTTTCAAACTTGTGTGTTACCCTATTCTTCTGTTTCAACCAAACAAAACCTGTTTCTCTGTTGTAACCAACTTCAATAATATCTTTCAATGGTAACAAACCATTGGGAAGACAAATTTCAGCCAGAAGCTCTTTGGATTTCACTTGCCCTAGTTCGTCTCCATGGTATACCTCTGATTTCGACTTGATTTCTTCTGTTACCAATGACATTGTTTTGTTTTCTTGTGTTTGTGATTAGATTAGCTTGTGGTTGGGTTCTTATATATTACTACTATTAAACGGAAATATATCTAAAACATTGATGATTTATTTATTTGTAAAACATAGTATTAATGATTTTTAATTTTATTTATTGAAATGTTTCAGGGAAATGAGCCACAATTAATATGTTCAGTTTTTAATGCAAATTATGAATCACTTTTTTTCACCTCTGGTTCCAGTAATTCAGTTTGACCCAAGAAGTCAGAGGCTTAGTCAAGTATTGTCTTTATTATAAATCGAATTCAAAATTTTCAAATTTTTTATTTTTTAACTAACTTATTTATGACTCGAACTTAAGTGTTTATTCACTAATTAAATTTTTTTATTTTAGGAAAAGTATAAAGTTTAATAAGTTCTAACGGGAAATCAAAAATATAAATATTTTTACTTATTATTTATTTATTTTTATAATATATAATTGATTTCTTTTTTTTTTTAATTAAACTTTTATCCTATGGGGTATAATTTTTTTTTATATATGTAATTAATCAAATTGCTATATAATATTGTTTTTAATTAATTTTAAAATAAATATTTACTTGACATAATATGATATGATTGAATGTGCTAAAAAGTTTTGGATGAAAACTTATCTCTATTTTTTACTTGTCATTTTTATAAAAAATGATAATACTTATTTATGAAAAAATAGGATATGTAGTATTAAATAACTTTACACCGTCATTTGATCGATATGTATTTCATAAAATTATGTTAATATTTTAAAAAAAGTTTAATAATTTTTTATTTGATGATCATGTGAAATTTATTTACCGTGCCAATTGGATGTTTTATTTATTATTTATTGTTTTCAAAATTTAATAATATATAAATTATATCTTTGTCAAATATATAATTAAAATATTTATCCTAAAAAGAAAAATATGTAAAATTACATAATAACTAAATTGTTTAATGTATTAGAGGAAAATGTCAATAATTATTTTCAACATTAGTTGCCAATATGTATTAATGTACTGTGCCTTTTACGCTAATTGAATGGCATTAAATAATTTTCAACTTTATATGTGTATAACGGTTTTCTACTCTTATGATACACTTTTTCAAATTTCAAAAATGAATTAACCTCAAATTAAAAGACTAACTATTTCTTTCTTTAATAATTGAGGTATAATTTTATAAGGAATATTGATATTTAGTTGTAAAAATATTTATTCATAAGTATTGTGTTTTTACCTTGTATATATTACAATTGAATAAATTTTGTTTATGGACAATTTTTTTTATTCTTTATTTATAAGATTACCTAGAAGACGACGGAATTGAGTTGGATTAGATAGAGGTTCTTCGTCTTTAGAGGAGAACTTTATGGTAGGATCAATGGGTATCGAAGCCGGTTTGCCTCCTAACAGGCTTGTTTCCTGCAAAAGGTCGAGACAGTATTTTCTTTGGCATAGTGTGATGCCTGAAGATGAACGAACAACTTCGAAGCCAAGAAAATACTTCAATTGACCTAAATCTTTGATAGTGAATTTCTGGTCCAAAACACTCTTGACATGATTGAACTCAGAGAGTGATGTACGTGCAAGAAGAAAATTGTCCATATATACAAGAATAACAATATAATTTTACTTATTTTGTTTGATAAATAACGAGTAGTCAGTCCTAGATTGAATAAATCCTAAGTCATGAAGAGTTGTCGTAAGGGTATTGTTACATTGACGAGTGACCTATTTAAGTCCATAGATGGACTTTTTAAGTTTGCAAACCAAATGTTTGGATGCGGGTTTAAGGTCAAGTGGGGGGTTCATGTAAACTTCATCGTCAAGGGTATCGTGAAGGAAAGCTGTATTGATGTCAAGTTGATGAGGGTGCCAACCCTTTATGGAGGCAATGAAAAGAAGAGTGTGAATGGTTATCATTTTGACAACGAGGCTGGAGGTTTTGTGGTAATCCAACTCCTCTGTTTTGGTGTAACCTTTGGCGACTAAACGGGCTTTGTAGCGCTCAATTGTGCCATTGGAGTGAAACTTTAACTTAAATATGGCTCGTTTATTGGGAGGTAAGGGAGTAAGCTCCTAAGTGTTATTCCTAATAAGAGCATCTAATTCAGTGTCAATAGCAGTTTTCTAGTTAGTATCTTTAATAGCCTCAAGATATGAAGTCGGTTCATGTGCAGAGGAAATGTTTAAAACTAAAGACTTATGAAGAGGGGATAAATGAGCATAAGATAAATAATTACTGATGGGATAAGAAGAAATTACATGCATTGAAGAAGGAATCTGTGGATGAGCCATGTAAGAGGGAGCAATGGAAATTTTGGAGATATGAAGGTTGTTTGGTGACACAGCTAGACTTTCTAGTAAGGGGGAGGGATAGCAGTAGGAGAAAGAGGTATGGGAGCAGGATGAGTAGAAGGTTCTAAGTGCACAAGTTGGGTAGCAGGTTATGGAATGAGTTGAGTGGTGGCAGCAGGGATGGGTGAAGGATCTTCAATGTAATCAAAGATAGGGTCAGTAATGGGTGAAGGATCTTCAATGTAATCAAAGATAGGGTCAGTAATAGGTGAAGGTTGAGGAATGAAGGTAGTATTAGGGGTATGGATTGGTTTGTGATAAGGGAAGATGGTCTCAAAGAAAGTAGTGTCACGAGACAGAAAAATAACTTTAGATTGGAGGTCATATAGCATGGAACCTTTGACCCCCTCCTTGTTTCCTAAATAAATACAACGGCGAGACTTGGGATCAAGTTTGGTCCTAGGATGTTTGGGAGTACACGCAAAAAAAAAAGACACCCAAAAAATTTCAGCCTACTATAATCAGGGATCGTGTTGTGTAAGGTTTGGAATGGTGTTTTGTGAGCTAGCAGTTTTGAAGGAAGCCCATTAATAAGAGATATGGCATGAGTGAGGGCATATGCCTAGAAAATATTAGGCAAATGAGAGTGAAGAAGTAAGGCATGAGTGACGTTTAAAAAATGTTGATGCTTACGTTAAAAAATCCCATTTTGTTGAGGGGTATCCGGGCAAGACATTTGATGAATGATCCCATGTTTTTGAAAAAAAAATTTCATAGTGAATTATGGACCATTATCAGAACGTATGGCCCGGATAGCATTGGTTGAGTTGAGTTTGAATTAAGTGAACAAACGATTGAATTAAATTGGAAGTTTCAGATTTAAGTTTCATTAAATAAATCCAACAAAATCTACTGTGATCATCAACAATAGTAAGGAAATATTTATGGCCAAGCATAGAAGGGGTGGCAATGGGACCCCATATGTCCATGTGAACAATGTCAAAGCAGGCCAGAAAAGTAGTTTTGTTGTTAGTAAATGGCAAACGTTTTTGTTTTGCCATAAAGCAAGTATCACAAACAAGGGAAGATGTATGAGTTAAATGCAAAATAAACATCTTATTAATGTGTGTAAGAGAATCATGTGAATAGGGATGTTGGCATTGGGGGCTCCATCAAGGAGCTCCTCACAGTAAAAGCAGATGGGAATAGACTCCCCCCGTACCCTATCGAGGGTGGAGTTCCGGTTCGAGCTGTTGCTGATAAGTTGCTCAAATTTTATTTTGACAGACTCTATCGTGACTTTATTGAAGCCCCCCTCCGGAGATGACCATGAAGGAGGGGAAAGTCTCCCATGTATTGTGCGCAGAAATACCAACTAAGTAACTCGAAACTGGTAACTATAGCCCGCTCGCCTTTCGCTACTCTAAGTAAGCATGTCCCTTCTTTGGCAAAGGCTACTCGCTCGCGGTAGACTTTGCTTGGAACTCAATAAAAAATTATCTTTTGTCGAAATAACCTCGGGAGTGGGGGACACCCTACGCGCAGGCAACAGCAGCACCGACTCTACGAAGTCAGAATCTAATCTTTGTGTTGGATTTCCCAATTCATTCGTGAAGGCTTTTTTCGAGCCCTGCGAGGTATCATAAGCATAATAATTCAATTCTTTGAATTGGGGAGAGATGGCTGAGACGTCCCCGCCGGCAGAAAAACTAATTATAGATATCAAAATATTGATAAAAAATATGGAGGTGTGAGGCCCTCGGGGATGTAGAAATCTTCAGGCCACGAGATGCTCATAGCGACCTGAAAGCTAGTTTCTTCGGAGGAAGGCACCTCTTCCTCGACCTTCTTGGACTCCTGGGTATCCTGCCGAGGAGTATCCTTTAGTTTGGTGAACTGCTTCAAATGTCCGTCCTTGATGAGTTTCTCTATGACGTCCTTCAAGTGGAAGCAATTGTCAATCATATGGTCGTGGCTCTTGTAGAATCGATAATATTTTGACTTATTAGTGTTTGTTTTGAATGGTATCTGCTTTGGGAACCGGACTCCCGCCTGCCGGAATTCTGAGTTGCACATTCAGAAAGGATATTTTCCCATGATACTGTGAGGGGAGCATACTCGTGGAACCAGCCGGAGGGCCCTTTGTTGTCCCAAGCCTCTTAGGGACGATCTTCGCGCCTTCTATCTCCTCGACAAGATGTAGAGGGCTCGTCGGACCTGGAGGATCGGGCGCTCTCACGATCCCCCGAATCTCGGGCAATAATTGGAGGCTTCTTTCTCTTCGCACTGGATGTACGCTTATGCTTTAAGGAGGAATGCGTCTAGCGTTGTTGGGGGTTGAATGCCTACAACTTTAGCAAACTCCATGCGGGGACGGAGCCCGCGCTCGAGTAGAAACTTCTTCATGTCATCTATCGTGGAGACCTGGATAACCTCCTTATTGAACCTTTTGATGTAGGCTCGCAGGGGTTTGTCCCTCCCTTGAATAATGGCCTCAAGGGAAGCTTCAGTCTTCGGGTGTCGACGAGAGGTCGTGAAGTGTCTAGAGAACATTCTCCCCAGCTGCCTCCATGAAGTGATGGAATCGTCGAGAAGTCTTTTGTACCAGATCATTGCCCCTTTCTTGAGTGTGGTCGGGAATAACCTATATTTGATGGTGCCCCAGACCCCGAATAGTCGAGTAGCGCGTCG